AGAATGCACTTGAGAAGAATGCACATTCTGTAGTTTTGGGGTGGAATGTTCTAAAGATGTTGATTAAATCCATCTGATCTAGTAAGTCATTCAGGATTGAAGTTTCTTTGTTAATTTTTTGTCTAGAGGATTTATCCAGTGATGTTAATGGGGTATTAAAGTCTCCTACTCTGTGTTGCTGTCAATCTCTCCCCTGATATCTTCCAGAAGTTTTTATTATCTATTTGGCTGCTCCTGCATTGGGTGCATAAATATTTACCAGAGTTATATTCTCTTGTTGTATTGATCCCTTTAGAATTATGAAGTGGCCTTCCTTGTCTCTTGTTATGGTCTCCACTTTGAGGTCTATTTTGTCAGATATAAGTATTGCTACCCCAGCTTTTTTTTTCATTTCCATATGCCTGATAAATATTTTTCCATCCTTTCACTTACAGTCTGTGTGAGTCCCTTGTTCTGAGATGGGTCTTGTGTAGACAGCATATATATGGGTCGTGTTTTCTTATCCATCAGTCCCTCGATGTCTTTAGATTGGAGCATTTAGTCTATTTATGTTTAATGTTATTATTGACAGGTACTTGCTTGTAGCCATTTCTGTACTTTATGCCTGTGTTCCTTCCTCCCTTTCTATTTCTTCTTTTTACAGCATTCCCTTTAGCATTTCTTGCATTGCTGGCTTGGTAGTGATAAACTCTGTTAGCAATTTTGTCTGAGAAGCTCCTGATTTCCCCTTCAATTTTGATTGATAGTCTTGTTGGATAGAGTATTCTTGGATTCAGTCATTTGCTTTGCATCACTTTGTATACTTCATTCCTTTTCCCTTCTAGCTTGGTGTGTTTCTGTTGAGAAATCGTTAGATAATCTGATGGGGGATCCTTTGTAGGTAACTCTCCATCTCTCTCTTGTAGCCTTTAAGATTCTTTGTTGTGAACATTTGCCATTGTAATTATGATGTTTCTTGGTGTGGGTCTTTTGGGATTCATCTTGCTTCGGACTCTGTACTTGAGTGATTTTTTCCTTTCCCATATCAGGGAAGTTTTCTGTCATTATTTCTTCAAATAGATTCTCTAATCCAGTGGTTCTCAACCTTCCTAATGCCGCGACCCTTTAATACAGCTCCTCATGTTGTGGTGACCCCCAACCATAATTATTTTTGTTGCTACTTCATAACTGTAATTTTGCTACTGTTATGAATTGTAATGTAAATATCTGATATACAGGATGTATTTAGGTGACCCCTGTGAAAGGGTCGTTCGACCCCCAAAGGGGTCGAGACCCCCAGGTTGAGAACCGCTGCTCTAATCCTTACTGCTCTTCTTCTCCTTCTGGCACCCCTATTATGCATACTAGTATGTTACCTTGTTTCGTGTTGTCCCAAAGCTCCCTTAGGCTCTCCTCCTGCTTTTTAATTTTTTTTCTCTAGTTGCTGTTCAGATTGGGCTTGTTTCTATATCTTATCTTCTAACTCAGTAATTCGGTCCTTTGCTTCTTCTAGTCTACCGTTGAAACCTTCCATAGCGTTTTTGATTTCTTCCTGAATTTTTGCACAGGTTGTTGATTTTCTCATCCATATGGTTTATGAACTGTATGACCATTATTCTGAATTCTGTCTGTCATACTGCATTCCTCTGTTTCAGTTATTTCCTTTCTTGGCGATTCCTTCTTTTATTTCCTCTGGGGATTGTTTTGTTGTCTCTCCATTCTAACTATCACTAGAAGGTCCAAAAGGCAAGTTGCGGGGGCCTGAGCAGTGTGCAGTGGGAGCGTCACACCACCCAAGTGTCACTGGAGAGCTCTGACATCAAGGTGTGTGGCTGCCATGGGTCGGTGGGAGCCATGCACGCTGAGAATCAGTCATCAGTGCTCAGTGCTGCCTCTCGTGTAAAATATCAGGGTCCCCTGTCTACTTGGAGAGCCGGGTTACACAGCCACTCTGTGTCAGGGAAAGGCCCACTCCTGCGCCGTGGGAACCAGACTCCTGTATGAGGGCCCAGAGTTGAAATCAGGTAGCGGAGCCGCCCTGTGTTGGAGGGAGGCCCACTCCTGCGCCATGGGAAACAGAATCCCGTGTGTGCACAAGTCCAGAGTCAAAGTTAATTTGCACAGCCGCCCTGTGTTGGCAGGACTGCTCGTGCAGAGTGGGTCTGGCAGGTCCTATGCCACCACCGCGGGCCATTGGGGAGGGAGATGGGCTCTGTGACTCACAGAAATCTGCAGCTGGGATGTCTGGACTCTTGGTGTCCATGGGTCTGCATCTGTGGTGGCAGGTCTTTGTCCCGAGTGGTTGTAAGATCCTGGATTGCGTCTGAGACCAGATTGGGTGGTGGTGAGGCTGGAATCCAAGTCAGAAGTAGTCCTGTTCTTCAAGATGGCATGCTCTCTGTGCCCGACCCAGAGTATCTGTGGTGGCAGCCCCCTGGAAGACTCGCAGTATCTGACTATCCCTAGCTCTCTCTCTCTCTCTCTCTCTCTCTCTCTCACACACACACACACACACACACACACACACACACCACACACTCCCCTATCGCTCCCTCACTCTCTCACACATTCTCCTTCCCTGCCTTCTTGCCGGTCACCATCTTTTTTCCAGTGCCAGTGAATAATTATTTATTGGATGATCCTGTTAAAAGTGTTGCTCAGAAGAAAAAAAAAGAAAAAGAGCGTTGCTCAGGCATATCAAACTAGACCCGTTCCAATTTAACACCTTTTTCCATTACAAATTTGTTCTCCTTTCTACATCTCATCTGTTGTATAGCATTTAAATCTTTCTTTCCAGATATGCCTGTAGCTAAAACATCTCTATCCAATTGGTCATTTATTTATACTATTTCTACTTATAAGATGTGCCCCAAATTTGATCCTCCACTCACTGCCAATATTTTAGTTCAGGACTTCATTATTTTCACTTGGATTACTGCAATAACCTGGGAAACAGACTCCCGTGTGTGTTCAAGTCCAGAGTCAAAGTTATCTGCATGCCTCTGTTTCACTTATTTCCTTTCTTGGTGATTGCTCTTTTTCTTTCCTCTGGGGATTGTTTTATTGTCTCCCCATTCTAACTATCACTAGTATGTCCAAATGCCAAGTTGCGGGGGTGGGAGAGAGACCTGGTTTCTGGGTACTCAGTCTCTATTTCTCATCTGTTCTCTATTCTTGCTCATAAAAACATTTTCTAAAACATAAATTTAATCACTTCACTTGTTAAAAGTAAATTGGCTATTAACAGATCCTAAAAAAGTGAAGACAATTAAATGCCATCCAAATACAAAGCAACTTATTTCTTTTTTTTTCTTTTTCATTGAAACATTTTTTAAATGTGTAACTGTATGCAGACTGAGCTGTGTATAGATTTTTCAAAGCTTGAATGGTGGCCAAGACCAAGTAAACCGCGGCCCCCTTTTCATGTTTGCAGAGCAGTAACTGCTCAAAGTTGGGCCAATCTTCAGACCTGCAAAGGAGGGGGTAAATATCCCAGAGCAAGATACCCCTGAACTGGAAGGGAGCCAGGGGTGAGGGCCTGTAGCCAGCCCTTCCATGCAGTGCTCCTACAGCCTGTTCTTCCTGGGGTCCAAGCTCTTTTGCTCTGAAGATGGATGGGGAACAACAACAAATGCTGGGAAAAAGAGAGAGAGGAGTTGCTTTTTATTGACGTGGTAGTGGGCTCTTCAGAGCAGCCCCTTTAGGTTTAAGAGCATTTTTCTTCTGTTCTTCTTCCTGCAACTTCGCCTGCTGCCTGAGCTGCCATGCCTGTAACCCAGCATCCATTTCCTGTGACAGCAGTACAACTCGTCTTGCAAATTTTTCTCTTTGGGCTTGTCTTCAAAGCTGGCCTTTCACTGGAGGAGCAGGGCGGCCATTGGAGTCTCCACTGGCCACCCGCCCGAGCCACCGCGCTGCCGTGCAGCCTCCGGACACTAAAGAGCAGAGCACCTAGAGCAGCCATTCTGCGGGTCAGGGAGCAACTTATTTCTTAACATGATTTAAAAATATATGGAAATGACTGGATAATACATGTCATGTTGTTTCTCAAAACTTTTTTTTTTAAATGTAAACCATTTAATTCTAAATCAAATCACTTTCCCAACAGTGAAAATTAGCAGCTGTTCAAGGTATGCCACTGTACATGGTGACCTTTTCTGCCTGTGGCTGGGACCTGATCCTGACCCACAAGGCAGCAGGAGTAGGAGTAGAGACAAGAACATAGAAAACACACACAAATGAAAGCAAAACTGCCTTGGCAGGGGGCAAGGTGGTGAGCCTGCAGAGGGGTGGCGAGAAGGGGGCTCTATTTCAGGCTGGGCCAGCAGTGCCAAATCGGCTTTCCTGCCCCAGCTCCTGGCAGAGGATGAGTGGGGACCTAGAAGATTAAAATCAAAGGGCAGGTAGCCAACCTGGCTTTGCTACTTGGTTCCTAGGATACCATTGTTGGTAGAGCTCATCTGGGCTCACTTCCTTTGATTCCAAGTGATTATACCTTTTTAAATCCACACCTGAGGATATATTTTTATTGACTTGCGAGAGAGAGAGAGAGAGAGAGAGAGAGAGAGAGAGAGAGAGAGAGAGAGAAACATCGATTGGTTGCCTCTCTTATGCATCCTAATAAGGGATCAAACTTGCAACCTGGGTATATGCTCTGACTGGGAAGCAAACCTAAAACCTTTGGAGCTACGGGATGATGCTCCAACTGAGCTACCCAGCCAGGGCTCTAAAATGTTTTAAAAATGGGTATTGAACCATGCAAAACAATGTTATATTAATAATATAATACTTGATTCAGCATAGTCAGAGCTCTAATGCTTGGCACGGGGTTAATTTTAGCTCATGCAAAAAATATGAATGAATAAACTGGACAAACTATTTCACTATTTCAACATAATTTGTTGTTTAATTAAAGGAAGGGTCAGGTGATAATTCTGTAATCATATTTGAAAAAAGAGTTTTTAGTAATTTTAATATATATATATATTTTTAAAAAGAAGATACTGAAACAGGAGGCTTACCTTGCAAATACCCTGTCCTTATTTGCTTTTTCTTTGCCATACTGAACTGACTGGACTTCAGTTCTCCCACTGAAATACATAAATATGCACAATAAAATACTGAAGAGAATTATAAAATAACACACCACATGATTACATTACAATCTCTTAAGAGATAAGATATTTCTAGCAGGGAAAAGAAAGCAGAGGATAAGGAAAGACTGGAATACATTCCAGTTCTACCTGAATGGATGAAAATTAAGTTCTCTCATTAATCAATAGAGATGTGTTCCATAGACACTTCCTTACTTGGGAGTAAATGTGAGAGAAATATTTTGCATGAGAGGAATTCCTTCTCTGCTATGCCCTATAAAAGCACTCCATCTAGACCAGTGGTTCTCAACCTGTGGGTCGTGACACCTTTGGCGGTCGAACGACCCTTTCAAAAGGGTCGCCGAAGACCATCCTGCATATCAGTATTTACATTACGATTCATAACAGTAGCGACATTAGTTATGAAGTAGCAATGAGAATAATTTTATGGTTGGGCATAACATGAGGAACTGTATTTAAAGGAACTGTATTTAGAGGTTGAGAACCACTGCTCTAGACTGAGATAGGCTGTTGTGTCTCAGCTCATCTAAGCCCTGCCCTTACCCTAGAGCAGTGATGGTGAACCTATGACACGCGTGTCAGAGGTGACATGCGAACTCATTTTTTTGGTTGATTTTTCTTTGTAAGTATATAAAATAAATATCAAAAATATAAGTCTTTGTTTTACTATGGTTGCAAGCATCAAAAAATTTCTATATGTGACACAGCACCAGAGTTAAGTTAGGGTTTTTCAAAATGCTGACACACCAAGCTCAAAAGGTTCGCCATCACTGCCCTAGAGTGCTGTGGTTTAGCTGGTGTCTCTACTACTACTTAATGAAGGGCCTGAAACATGGACATCTTGAAGAATAGCTCTTTCCTTAGACAAGCTTTTACTCCTTATCTACTGATAATGGTTACAGATACAAGGACTGGTTACATTGTGGTCAACCAAAGAACTTGTATGCATATACGCATAACCCATGGACACAGACAATAGTGTGGTGAAGGCCTGGGGCAGGGAAGGGTAAACTGGGGGAGGGGGGGACATATGTAATACATTCAACAATAAAGATTAAAAAAAAAAGACTGGTTACATCCCCATATTCTTTCATATCCAGACACAATAAAAGCCTAATATGCAAAGTGTCTGGTCATCCACTTGGGCCATTAAACAATCAAAGCATAATATGCTAATGATATGCTAAGACCAGTCAATTGCTCGCTATGATGTACACTGACCACCAGGGGGCAGACACTCCAACCAGTAGGTTAGCTTGCTGCTGGGATTTGGCTGATCAGGGCTAAGTAAAATGGGGCAGACACGCCCTGGAGCCCTCCCATGTCCCTCCCCGGCCCCAATCGTGCACCAGTGGGGTCCCCTGGCCTGGCCTGCACTCTCTCACAATCTGGGACCCCTTGGGGAGATGTCAGAGAGCCAGTTTTGGCCTGACAGCAGAATGACTGGTCACTATGACATGCACCGATCACCAATGGGCAGACGCTCAATGCAGGAGCTGCCCCCTGGTGGTCAGTGCACTCCCACAGTGGGAGCGCTGCTCAGCCAAAAGCTGAGCTCACGGTTGGCGAGTGCAGCGGTGGTGGTGGGAGCATCTCCCACCTCCACAGCAGTGCTAAGGATGTCTAATTGCTGGCTTACGCCCGCTCCCTATGGGGAGCGGACCTAAGTTGTCAGTTGGACATCCCCCAAGGTCTCCCAGACTAGAAGAGGGCACAGGCAGGGCTGAGGGACCCTCACTGAGTACACGAATTTTGTGCACCGGGCCTCTAGTTTGTTATGATTTTAATCCCCTGGATATCTTGAAACAGAGATAATAAGGGTGTATGTATAAGGAGGTTGATGGAAGAACAAATCGTGTGATATTCCATCTTCCATCTCTCAACTGAAATAACATTTCAATATTTTAAGTATTACGTTAATTCTAATATTCCCAACCACTGCCTATTATGAGGGGAAAAAATGTTTTACTTAATGCATACTCTCTGCAATATGACTGTCCAGGTAAACTTGGTCATGGTGCCATTGCTACCTCATTTACCAAATTATTTAATCACTAGAGGCCCAGTGCATGAAATCTGTGCGGGGGAGGGGGGGAGAGGAAGGCCCCTCGGCCCAGCCTGCACCCTCTCCAAAACAGGACCCCTCAGGGGATGTCCAACTGCCTCTCACAATCTGGGACTGCTGGCTCATAATCACTTGCCTACTCGCCCCTAACCCCATCTGCCTGCTTGATCGCCTCTAACTGCTCCCCTATCAGCCTGATCACCCCTAACTGCTACCCTTCTGGCCTGATCGCCCCTAATCACCTCTGCCTCACCCCACACCCGGCTGGCATGTGAGTGTTCATACGGACATGTATGCACATCTCAAGTTAACACTCCACTCACAGTGAGGACACCCA